AGAGTCTTACTTTGTCACCCTTGGTAGAGTGTGGTGGTATCACAGCTCACAGAAACCTCAAACTGTTCAGCTCAATTGATCATCTTGCCTCAGCCTCCAAAACAGATGGGACTAGAGGCACCTATGACAATGCCCAGCTATTTGTTTTAGAGACAGGGGTCTCGCTGTAGCTCAGGCTGGTCTCAAACTCCTGAGCTCAGGCAATCCACCTGCCTCAGCATCCCAGAGTGCCAGGATTTATAGGCATGAGCCACCACGTCCTGCCAGAATTATCCTTTGTATTGCTTAGAATTTACTACTGCATGTACAAATTACAATTACTTTTTTTCCCCCTTTCTTTCTTTTTGAGACAAGGTCTCACTCTGTCACAGATTGCACAGTGTTTAATTCATAGTTCACTCCTACCTTCAAGTGATCCACCTGACTCCAGGGGGCTACAAGTGTGAGCCACCATGCCCAGCCTATTTTTCCAAATAAATTTTTAAAAAATTTAGATAACTGAAGTGAAAGAGGTAGATCAAAGTGTTATGGCATCACAAAGGAGAGATCAACTTTCTGGTAAACAATCAGAAAAGGTGTTTTGGTGAAAGTTACATGAGATCGGGGTTTAAAGGGTGAGTTAAGTCTGTCAAGTGGAGAAGAGCTTGCATTGAGGCCCAGAGACTAGCAAGAACCCTGTGTGAGCCTGAAGGAAGGGCAAGGTATTTGGTGGGATTGGTAAATGCAGCAGTGAGGGCAGGTGTGGCCAAGGGAACTAGAGAGGTGTTAGGGGTGTGCCACCAAGGTCACTTGAACTTGATCCTGTGGGTAAGAGAAGCCAGAGACCTCTAGAAGCCTAAGAGCAAGGAGAGAATAAAGAGGGTGTTTGGATAAAAGCTGATGAAAGCTTGAACTAAAGAAGAGTGGATGGCGATGAGGGGAAAAGAGCAGACTTCCTTGGGGATGTGCTGACGATTTGGCTATGGTAGAGGAGAGTCAGTACAATGAGAAAGTTAAGAGTTTGAGCCTAGGCTCGGCGCCTGTGGCTCAAGCGGCTAAGGCGCCAGCCACATACACCTAAGGTGGCGGGTTCAAATCCCCAGCCCGGGCCCGCCAAACAACAATGATGGCTGCAACCAAAAAACGGCCGGGCGTTGTGGCGGGCGCCTGTGGTCCCAGCTACTTGGGAGGCTGAGGCAGGAGACCGCTTGAGCCCAGGAGTTGGAGGTTGCTGTGAGCGTGATGCCATGGCACTCTACCCAGGGGGATAGCTTGAGGCTCCGTCTCAAAAAAAAAAAAAAAGAGTTTGAGCCTAGATGGGTTGATGGAACAGATGGGAAACTGGGTGGGGTGGAGGAAGGAAGATGATATGTGTTTTGGTATCTTTAATTCTGAGGCACCTCTGAGCCCTCTTGTTCTCCACCATGTCTAGCAAGGCCCAGAGTTGCTACCTTATAATGTTCAGCCTCATCTTCTGGGGGTTTCAGCAGCTCCTCTAGTGTGCGCACCTCCTCACTGGTGATGTCAGCACAGTAGGGCTCCACCGAAGCCCAGAACCTGCAAGAAGCAACAGATCCTGATTGGGTACCCTTCTACCCTACCAGCCTCAGCCCTGGGGCCCTGAGCCTCCACCACCCGAATCCCAATGTTCCCCTCCATGTTCTCTGGCCCAGAACCTGTTGGGAGCATCATTCTTGGGGATCCGTGGCACATCAATGGGGTCATCAGTGAATTCATATTCCTGGATCTTGGGCTGAAGGTTTTTGGATTTGGGCCGCCCAGGGCCAGGGCCTGGTCCATGTCCCGCCTTCCCTTCCAGCTTTGGCTTCTTGGGCTTCCCATGTTTGGGGGGAGCTCCAAGTTCATGGTCTCGACCCAGCTTCAGGAATCTTCGGTCACCCTTTTTATCTTGCCAGTCAGTGAGGATCTGAAATTTACAGAGACTATGGCTGAGGAGGAGAAGGTAAGACAAGGGATGACTCTTTCCTTCAGTGAAAAAATTAAGATCTAAAATCCAAGGAGGCTCCAAGGTCTTTCTTTCCCCATCTCCTTTTTACTTAGCAAACTCCTATTGATCCTTCAAAACTCAGTTCCTTTTCTGCTGATCTCTTAGGATCTTATTCATATACTTATCATCCCATTCATTTGTTTGTACTCTGTTTCACTTTTGTATACTGAAGTCAGTCACATGCTGTTTAGTAGAGAATCAAATGACCACACCCCAGTGTGTGTTGGCCCTGGGAAAAGAGGCTGGTAGTGACTTTTTGGCAAAGGCAAGCAGCCTTTCAGCAAACCTTCATTTCAAAAGTCACCACAACTGGGAAGCTTTCTCTGTATCAGTTACCCTTAGTCTCAGATGCTAAAATGCAACTTATTGTCCTGTAGCTCTCCTCAAAAAGCTTCCATGGATTCCCAGAGACCATAAGTTAATTCTATTTATCTTTTTAGATCCAGCTGAAATGGCATCTCCTCCTTCTACAAGCCTTTAGCATTTCTTGCTGCCATTGTAGGCCCAACAGTGTTATTTGGCTACAGTGGAACGAGCAGCACACCTTGTCTCTTCAACTAGACTGTAAGGTACCCAAAGACCAAGAAGCTTATCTTAACCATCCCTGTTACACAGAATCTAGCATAGCACCTGGCACACAGGGCTCAGGGAAGTTTATGCAGTGAATATAAATAGGGTAGTAATAATTAATAACACTAGAAATGCTTACTTAGTGTCATTGGTCTGAGCCTTTGCAAAAATTCTTTTAATCTTCACAAAAGCTCGAAAGTAGGTCCTATTATTCAGTCCACTTTGCAGATACTTAGAGATATGAAGTAACTTTCTTAAAGTCACATAGCTAGCAAACAGCAATACTAGCAAATGCTTAGGCCAGGATTCAAATTCAGGCCTCCCCATTCCAGTTCTCCAGTACTTCTAACCCTATCACTTGGCATTTGTCTGACCACCCTCTCCCTTTAGTTGGCAAGCTCCTTGATGGCCAAAACTGTCCTAGGTACCTCTCTCTAATGACCAGTACCCAGAATACAATGGAGGATGGAGGAGCCAATATAAGCTAAGTGAATTGTAAATTTTGCAATTTATGAGAATCATGCATATTCTTGTGTATTTCATGTGTTACACATGCCAGTTTGGAAGTTTGGATCTCTCTCTCTCCACAAGCCCCTGTTCCACAGTTCTCAGCAGACAGGGCTAACTCAATGACCCAACCCACAACTCATCACAGCCCATCCTTGGTGACATCCCCTCTTTGGGGTATCACCTGGGTTTCAGCCTCAAGCACACGCAGGCGCCGGCTGGCAGAAGAGAGCAGGGTCTCAAGTTCCAGCTGCAGGGTGTCCAGCTCCTCGATGCCAATGCCATCATCCTCGGAGCGGGCCAGCACTGCTGTGTAGCGGGGACAGACCTTCAGGTGGTCCACAGACTTGAAGTCATGGAACTGCAACGGGCAGTCCTTCAACTCACTCATGGCCCAGGATATGGGACGCTGTGGAGCTGAAGAGGAGAGGCCGGTTGGTGGGAGACAAAGTGGCATGAGAAAATCCCAAGGGTCTCTTCTCTCCAGGGACAGCCTCAACAAGGAAGCCAAGAATCAGTACCCTTACTGACCAAGCTGACAGCACAGTTCCCATGCACAGGGCACCTGCTGTCTGTCAACGTAGGCACAGCATTTTACCAGCTTCTTATTGAATTCCTCAACCAACTTCACGAGCAGGGACCTCTGTGATCCCCTTTTTACAGAGAAAGAAACTGAAACTCTGTAAGGGTGGGTACATGCCTAAGCTTCTGAGATGCAATTTGAACCCTAGTAGTCCTGAATCCAAACCCCCAATCACCATGATATACCATGATGTTGTCTTTTGATGCTCTTCCCTTCTGTTCCACTCCTCCTAGGTCCTGCAAAACCTTTGAGTTCCAAATACCTCATTCTTACAACGTTCTCCGTGCCTCCCAGCCTCACCTTGTCTTACCCCACTTAACCTTTCCCCCCTTTTTATGTCCCTAACAATGGTTTAGAACGTTGGCTGGTAAGCCTGACAGACCTGAGTTTAAGCCCAAGCTTTTACTATTCTCCATTTATGTGCCCCTGAACATGTTATTTAACCTTTCGGAGTCTTGTTTTCTCCATCTGTAAAATGGGAACAAAAGAAGTCTCAGTGTGTTTCCACACAAAAAGTCTGACTCTCTAAAATGTGGATTACAACAGTACCTACCTCCCTGGGATGGTCTGAGGATTAAGAGATGATGCCCGTCAAGAGCCCAATTCAGTGCCTGGCACAGAAGAAGGGGGACTGCTTAATGGCTGGCCCCACCCGAGGGTCATCCCAATGTCCCGCCTTCAGCGTCCCAGTCCTCTAGGGAACACACTAACGCCGCTCCCGCCCCCTCTACCTCCTGACTGCAGCCTCCTACGGCCCCGGGGCCGCGGGAGGGGCGGGGAGTTCCGGTCGGTCGGAGCAACCGCCCAGGAACTGGCTATGGTCGAGCCTCCTTCGGTTGACGCGGGGGTGGGGAGGCGGCGGGGACGAGCCCACTGAGGTGGGAGGAGGGTTCAAGCGAGCCCACTGGAGAGGTGGGGTAGGAGGGTGCGCCTCGGCGGACACTAGAGAACACCCGGGGACCAGGGGGGCGGGACTCAGCAGCCCAGACCTCGGCGCGGCGGGTAGCCCAGCCGAGCCCCTAGGGCAGCGGGTAGGCGGGGCCGGAGAAAGGATTGGGGAGCAAACCGGAAGAAACGAAGGGCCCCTCCTCCTCCTTGGCTTGTCCTAATTTGGTGCCCACCAGAGGTCGGGCTGTACCATGGCATGACTGGAAAGACCAGGTTGTGAGAACAGGCGACAAGCAAGCCGAAGGCACAAACGAGAGCTTCATGGAAACCTGAAGAAGCTTAAGTAATACTTCTATTTAAAGAGTTTAAAGTACCAAATCAATTCTTGGAAGCAAATTTCCTAAGGTTCCACGTGTTCCCAGAGTCTGCCTCCCCCACTCAAGGTAAAGATGGTACTGCCCGGAAGTCCGGGCGCAGACTGCGGCTGCGCTGCTCGGGAAAGGGCCGCTGTCGCGGAGCTGGCCACTTCCGCCCTTCCGCTTTCCGGCCCAGCCAGCGCCCGCGATGGTGAGAGACCGGAGCCCCGGCCGGGTCCCCCCACTGTTGTGTGTTTAGGCTGAGGGTCGGGAGCGAGATGCGGCTTTGCAGCAGAGGCCTGGAGCAGGGGAATGCGGGCTGGGGGCCGGAGCACGAGGAGGGTGGGAGAAAGAGGACGGGGCGGGGGCCCGAAGTGAGGAAGGGGCGAGCTGGGGGGTCGCTAGTAAGAAGCAGGCCTTACAGCGACTTCGTAGTCGGGTTCCTGAGGCGGATAGGGAATATTCCTGAAGCAGGGAGGGGGCCGGCTGTGGGGTCCCAGAGGGATGCTTGGGGCGCTTTGAAGGCAGGTAGTAGGCCTTATAGCCGGGCGTCGGGCTGCGGAGTCAGGCAGGAGGGCTGCCCCCCACCCAGAGCAGAGCTTTGGGTGGCCTTTTGGACCGCATAGTTTTCCAGGCTGGGCGTCCACACTTCCTTATCCCCACTCTTCTCTATCCTTGCTTTTACCCCACTGAAGGATCCCTGTGTGGCCTCCACTCAGGCCCTTTCCTGGTTAGAATTAAACTGTCTGCTTTGCTGCATGTGTAATCTCTGATATGCTGATGCCTCTCTTTCTGGAAATTCTTTTTTTTTCTGAATATGTGGGCATTCCTGGGAGTTGTGACTTTGGTTTACCATCTCACTTCTTTTCACTGTCGCTGGTCATACCTTTCTCATCTCCACGGTTTGATGACCTTGTGCTTTCTGGTGACCCCTCAGACTGCCTTCACTGCTCTCTTTCAAAGTTCGCCTGGATATCTTGAAGACACCCTGAAATTAGGCCTCTAGGTCAAAACTCATCTTCTTGTCAAAACTTGCTCTTGACTCCTGTCTTCCCTATCCTAGCAAACTTTGTTGTCTCTCCCTCTTTTTAAAAATACATTCACATTTATTGAGGTATTACATAACGAGTTTTATTCATGAAAGGGCAGATCACACAAGTCTAGCCACCTGAAAATTCACTTTTTTTTTTTTTTTTTTTTAGACAGTTTCACTTATTAATCCTGGGTAGAGTGCTGTGAAGTCACAGCTCATAGCAACCTCCAACTCCTGGGTTTAGGTGATTCTCCCGCCTCAGCCTCCCAAGTAGCGGGGACTACAGGTGCGCGCCACAACACCTGGCTATTTTTTTTGTTGCAATTTGGCCAGGACTGGGTTTGAACCAACCATCCTCAGTATATGGGGCCCACGCCCAAATTCACCGTTTTTAAGGTTTACCATCCATGAGTGTTGACCAAAACATGTCCAGGAGCAGAAACTGAGGCTGGAAGACTGCTTAAGCCAAAGAGTTAGAGAATGTTGTGTTCTGTGATCACGTCTGTGAATAGCCACTGCACTCCAGCCTAGGCAACATAGTGAGACTCAGTTTTTTTTTTTAAATTCACATATTCACTATTAGAATCAAAATAAAGTAATCTTCATCACCCCAAAAGGTTCTCTCAAGTCCCTGTCAGCTTTTTTTTTTTTTTTTGAGACAGAGCCTCAAGCTGTCCCCCTGGGCAGAGTGCTGTGGCATTACAGCTCACAGCAACCTCCAACTCCTGGGCTCAAGCGAGTCTCCTGCCTCTGCCTCCCAAGTAGCTGGGACCACAGGCACCCGCCACAACGCCCGGCTATTTTTTGGTTGCAGCCATCATTGTTGTTTGGCGGGTCCGGGCTGGGGATTCGAACCCGCCACCTTAGGTGTACGTGGCTGGCGCCTTAGCCAGTTGAGCTATAGGCGCCGAGCCAAGTCCCTGTCAGCTTTTTAATGCAGCTTACCATAACGTGTTTGAGAGACATCCATGTTGTATGTATTAGTAGTTAGTCCTTTTTATTGCTGAGTAATTTTTTTTTGTAGAGACAGAGTCTCACTTTATCACCCTTGGTAGAGTGCTGTGGCATCACAGCTCACAGCAACCTCCAACTCCTGGGCTTAGGCAATTCTCTTGCCTCAGCCTCTCGAGAAGCTGGGACTACAGGCACCCACCACAATGCCCAGTTATTTTTTGTTGTTGTTGCAGTTCAGCCAGTGCTGGGTTTGAACCCACCACCCTCAGTATATGGGGCTGGAGCCCTCCTCACTGAGCCACAAGTGCTGCCCGTAATTTTTTTTTTTTTTTTTTTTTTGAGACTGGGTTGAATATCATGGCAACATCACAGGTCACAGCAACCTCCAATTCTTGGGTTCAAGCGATCCTCTTGCCTCAGTTTTTTGTATTTTTAGTAGAGACAGGATCTCACTCTGGCTCAGGCTAGTCTCGAACCTGTGAGCCACAGTGCACAGGATGGTGCTCTAATCATTGACATACAGGCAGCCAGCCAGTAGTATTTCACTGGATGGACCACAGTCTGTTGAGAGTTATTTTTCAGTTGTATTGTCCTCTATATCTAATGTCAGTCCACCCCCTGTGGTATTCTTGCTTGTCCCTCTCTGCTTTATGTCTCACTTCCCTCTTCAGTCTGTTTGCTACAGAGCCACCATGCAGCCACAGTCATGTAACTTCCTCCTCAGAAAGCCCCAAAAGTTCTTACCCCCTTAAATGAGAAGCTAAAGTGAATAGCGTAGCAATCCCCATGATCTTACCCCAGTCTACCACTGCAATCTCAACTGCTTTCCTTGTACAAAACATTGTGTTCGTTACTACTTCCAAAACTCTTTTTCTTTCTTTTTTTTTTTTTTTTAAAGATAGAGTCTCACTCTTTTGCCTTTGGTAGAGTGCTATGGCATCATAACTCACAGCAACCTCCAACTAACTCTAGGGCTCAAATGATTCTCTTGTCTTAGCCTCCCACATAGATGGGACTACAGGTGCCCGCCACAATACCTGGCTATTTTTAGAGTTGAGAGTCTCCTTCTAGCTCAGGCTGGTCTCGAACTCCTGAGCTCAGGTGATCCTCCTGCCTCTGCCTCTTGGAGTGCTGGAATTATAGGTGTGAGCCGGGCCCAGCCAATCTTATGTTATTTTTTCCATTCATTTACTCTACAGAAAATGAGTAAGATACTGTATGTGTTAGGTACTGAGCTAGGTGTAGGCGATATAGATGCGATTAATTCAGACATGGTCTCTTGACAGTGATGGAGAAATCACTTTAAAGGAAGAGGCTGTCCCTAATATATTGAGATCTGAAGTATGATGTAGGCAGAGAGAGAGAGGAAAAAATCCTACAGATAGATGGTTCAGCATAGATAGATGCAAAGCTCTCAGGTCAAAGAACTTGGTTAACATGAGGAACTGACCAGTATATGTAGAGGCTGAGCCTTTTATTTGGAATGTCTTTATTCTACTTTTTCTTTTTTTTTCTTTTCTTTTTTTTTTTTTTTTTTGAGAGAGAGCCTTAAGCTGTCCCCCTGGGTAGAGTGCCGTGGCATTACAGCTCACAGTAACCTCCAACTCCTGGGCTCAAGCGAGTCTCCTGCCTCAGCCTCCCAAGTAGCTGGGACCACAGGC